TCCCTGTGGCCTCGCTCCAGCAGCTCCACATCCTCCTGCTGCTGGTGCTCCAGAGCTGAGGCAGCACTGCAGGTGAGTCTCACCTGAGTGGGGCAGAATCCCCTCACTGCTGCCCACACTGTGGGATAAGCCCAGCACACAGCTGGTTTCTGCACATGGCTGAGGTCACCTCAAGCTTCTCATACACCAACACCCCCAAGTCCTTTCCAGGGCTGCTCTCCATGAGTTTATCTCCCAGTCTGTGCTCACGGCTGGGACTGCCCTGACCCAGCTGCACTTGGATGTGTTGAACACACGCCAGGATGGCTCCAGCACCCTTCCCCCTTCCCAGCCACAGGCACAACAGTCCCAGACTCAGAACATCCATCTAGTCAACACCCTTTTATTAAAAACAATTACAAAAAGTAACAGGTTACAACAGTTCTGTACAACCCAAATAGCTCTTGCCCACCACAAACCTCTGGTTTAGTGTTGGGGCTCCCTGGGGAGGCGATGGCAGCCCAGGGCCAGGACTGGCCCTGACCACACCAACAGCATGGGTGGACCTGGTTCTGCATCCCCACAGACATCCTGCACCCCCCACTCCAAACCCCTTACTTCAGGGGTCACAGCTGGACCGTGAGGGCAGAAAGGGGAACTGATGGAGGTCCTGTGGCCTGCCTGGAGGAACATACCCTGAACCCTGAGCCCAGGTGTTGGCATCAAGCTAAGCAACCAGCTCCCCAAGGACAAGCTGTCACCAGGACACCGGGCCCATGCTAGAATGTTCCAGCTTTTCTAGCTGCTGTGGGAGGGCTGGGAGCAGGGGCTGCCTGTCAAAGAACAGGGAAACCTCAAGGCAAGACCTGAAAGCTGACGTGGCTGCTCCAGGTACATTCCATGGTTGCAGCCAGGGGTGAAGATAAACAAGGGATAACCATGGGAAAGAGGCAAACGCAGGAACAAACCTTTCCCCCCTGAAGGAAGCTCTGAACTCTGTCTCCTATGGCCTGGGCAGGAGCAGCACCATTCCTAGCAGGTGATGGGAGTGGAGGACAAGCCAAAGTGTCCCAGGGCTGTTTCAGGTGAACGCCCTGGGCAGGGATGGAGGTGACTGCAGAGCTGGATGTGGAGCACTGGGGGCATGGTGGGGAGCTGCAGTCCCAACACCTAGGGCAAGAACAGGCTGGAGATCTGTGCCCTCCTGCCAGAGGGAACACAGATGGGCTCAGCAGTAACTAAAGCCTTTAGAGCTCCTACTTCTCCTGGTGGCTCCAGGAGAGCATGGCAGAGAAGCCACCTCCTTGCTTCTGAGGACAGCAGTGGAATGGGGAGATCCTGCTAGACCTGCACCTTCTGGACCTCCCTGCCCATGGCACAAGGCCCATGCTGTGTTCCTCCCCACAGCCACGCTGAGCACAGGGTGGGACAGGTCAGCAGGACACGTAGGGTCACACAGCACATCCCCAGACCCTGAGCCCAGCACCAGCTGGGGTACAAAGAAGCAAGCAGGGCCAGCTCCAACAGGAACCAAAGCCCCACTGCCCCTGGAGCCACACAGTCAGCCCAGGACACAGCGCCCGTCCCGCTGTGGGGCACAAGGGGATCACTGCTCTGGTAACAGGGTGAAGCTGCTGTCTGACCTCTACTGAGACCCCATCAATGGGACTGTTTCACCCAGCTCTGCTGTCCTCCAACAGCAGCAGAGTCTGGGTGGAGGGACCAGTCCCAGTCTGGGTAGAGAGACCACCAGCTCCCGTCCCAGTCACACCAGTGTGACAGTCACACTCTTAGCAGTTGCATCCGTCCAGGGGCCAAACAGACAACTATGTCCTTTGCTCTTCTTAAAACACCCAACACATAAACTAGTTTTCAACAAGAATTTTTGACTATTGCTTTTGCTTGCACCAAGTCCCTGCATCAGGGACAGGCTGGAGGGGAGTCCTGCTGGAGCCACCCTCGGGTGCAATCTTGTTTGCACCTCAGTCCCCAGAAGACCTTGATCCCTACACACAAGCTCACTGGGGACCTGCTGGAAGCTCAGAGTGGGGGAAGGACAGCTTGTCCTGCCCTGCAGTGACAGGGTGGCTGCTTTCTGCCCCAGCAGGCTGCAGGTTTGGCTCTGGGAGCACTGTTTGTCCCTGCCTCACCAAATGGCTCCCTGAGGTCTGGGCAAGGTGTGACACTCATGGTTTTCCCCTTTGCAGTGACTGCAGAATCAGGTGTCAGCCAGCCCTCACCGAGATTACCTGGGTCATAGCAGGTGGCAATTCCCCGATCCCACGTCATTCCTCTCCCACCTGCTGCTCAGAGGCAGCCTCCCTTTGTGGCAGCTCCGCCGTGGGATTGCACCAGGATCTCCTCCCAGATGCCTGATCTTGTCTCTCACAACCCCTTGCTTCCCACTCACACACCAGCTACACAATCCACTCACTCACAGCTTCCTGCCCAACCTCCTTCCATCTCCTCCACCTCCAAACAAGGTGGCAATCTACCAGCTTTGGAGCATAGAGGCAATTTAAGTCACATTTGAAGAAACAAAGTAAAAGATCTAACTTTAACTGAACCAGAATGATCCTTCTGCACACATCCAACCTACCTCTCCAAGCTCCTCCTAGGAACCAGGCAGTTCACTCTGGTTGTGCTACTCAAACCACCTTGCCAGGCCCACAAGGCAGTCACTGGACCACAGAGAATCCCTCGGGTGGAGTGATGAGGATCCAAGAGCCACTGCCTGGACACAGGACCTGCAGTGTGAGCTGGGGCGGTGGCGCTGTGCCCACAGCAGTCCATGAGTCCCATGGGAACCTGGGAGAGCTGGGAACATGCTGCTGAGCATGGGTGGACAGTGGTACTCTGAGAATTTATTGCACTGCTTCACAGAGGTGCAAGAGGAACAGGAGAGAGGAAGCGCAAGTCATCGTTTCACTTTAGCGTCTTCTTTGATCTTCCAGACCATCAGCTCCATGCAAGCTCTGGCATCCTCGCTGGAGTCGTGTCCTTCCACTGGGGACAGAAGGACAAGGAAGGCAGTGACCTCTTTGCTGCACATGGAATCACAGAATCATTAAGCTTGGAAAAGTCCTCCAAGATCATCAAGTCCAATCTTCAACCAAATACCACCACGGCCATGGAACCGTATCACCGAGCACTACATCTGCTTTTCTTTGAGCACCTCCAGGGATGGTGACCACCACCACCCTGGGGAGCTGTGCCAGGGACAAGGAAGGCAGTGACCTCTTTGCTGCACATGGAATCACAGAATCATTAAGCTTGGAAAAGTCCTCCAAGATCATCAAGTCCAATCTTCAACCAAATACCACCACGGCCATGGAACCGTATCACCGAGCACTACATCTGCTTTTCTTTGAGCACCTCCAGGGATGGTGACCACCACCACCCTGGGGAGCTGTGCCAGGGCCTCCCTTTCTGC